AAGCAACAAATATCACTTGAGCTGCTGTACGAGTGAGTCTGGGCTGGGTGTTTACGGCGCTTGTTGACTCCTCTTCCTCTTCCCTCACTCCCCCCTCCCTCCATGGTTCAGTCCTCCTCCCTATATCTCCTGGGAAAGCTTGAAACTACAGGACTCCTACCTCGTATCTGTCACCCGTTCTGAGACTCTCCTGACCTGAGACCATCACACACACACACACACAAAATTCACTAGATATCGAGGATTTCACGTCTTTTTGTTTCTAAAAGACGAAGGTTAGTAAGACTTTAGGATAACTGGAAGTTTAGTTAGGTTAGGTTAAATTTGGTTATGTTATGTTACGAAAGGTTAATGTTAGAGTGTTTAATTAATCACCAGGTAAGATAAGCTCGGGGCTAATCTTCAGGTAATCCCCAGTCTTTTGAGGGATTTAACTACCGTGATTATGAGAGTGCTTCTACAATGTGTATCACGCCATCTACTGCCAGTGATAAGAAATACCAGGTTACTTTTCTTGTTGTTATCCTGAGAACCTCGAGGTGATTACGACGAGTTGACCTCTTGATTACGAAGACTGAACTTAACTATCTGAGTACGATGACTTGACTTCTTGAGTACGACGACTTTAGGCTGTAGGTGGTCATTATTTTAGCAACTAACCAGACGCGCACACACACACACACACACACACACACACACACACACACACACACACTACTACTACTACTACTACTACTAATAATAATAATAATAATAATAATAATAATAATAATAATAATAATAAAAATAAACAATAGTTTTAACAATACCATTGTTTCATGAATACATTAATATATATGATCACGAATATCAGGCTACATAGAGATGAGGGAAATATTTATTAAACTGACAGAGATAACGTTTAAAACCGATATATTTGCCGTAGTGTATAATTCCGCTATTGTTCTTGAATTTAAAATGTATTCGATTATGCATTTTGTCTGCTTCCTTCAATCGTAACCTTCATTCATTTCTCCTTTTTTTTTCTTTTACATTTAGTCTTTGCTTCCTTCATTCGCAGTTATTGTTTTATTCATTTATGCCTTTAGTCTAAGCATACTTCTGTCATAACCCTCATTCATTCATTTCTCTCTTTTCCTTTTACCTCGTTCATTTAGTCATTAATTATATTCTACAATCCTACAAGAGTCGAATGCTACAGTTCGTGTCTCTATCCCTCGCTGTTACACGCCGCAGCTGGTGTACACTTAAGCCCCTGGTGCTGTTCACTATCAACACCCATTTGTGTAATTGCTAACCTCCAACATAACCTGAATTTACACACACACACACATATATATATATATATATATATATATATATATATATATATATATATATATATATATATATATATATATATATATATATATATATATATATATATATATATATAGTCCCAATAGTATCAAAACAATAAAAAAATCTACACAAAGCTGTCCAAAACTAACTTAAATTTTTGAAGTTTTTTTAATATAATTTCTTTCAGATTCTCCTCGTACATAACTTTCACCCAACTGCCTTCAGGCTTTCCCAATAATTTTGTGTCAGTCAGATGCCTTATGCTGGCGTAGGGGGGGGAATGTATAGATGTGTTGGTAAATATATTTAACGTTTAGAGTTGTCGGTAGGTTAATGGTACAGATTTTTGAGAGAGAGAGAGAGAGAGAGAGAGAGGTCGTCTTGACAAAGTGAACAAACTCTGTAACGAAGAAATACACAATAAAACTGAACCAAGACAAAAGACTCTTAAAAAGATTTTCTCACTCAAGGAAACATCTCTTGGAGGTCACCGACAAACGTCTTACAACATCAACAACAACATAGAAAATTCAATGAAGTAAAGTTGCTGCTGCTTGTACACGTTCCGTAAGAGACAGAGGTCTGATTTTAATCCCGGATGTCGTCAGTCTTAGCCACCCTCCCTCCTCCCTCCTCCTCCCTCCCTCCCTCCTCCCCCTCCTCCCTCCCTCCCACCCTTGTTGAATATTCCGGACGCCGATACCGATTTTGAGGGCACTGTGTTAATCTACCCCAGCCGTAAACAAGCTACTTACCCTGTTTATGGGTATTTCATCAAGAAGAAATGACACCCCCAAAGCCTGCAGTTTTAATCGGATCGTGCCAGTATGGGTGATGGGAGACTTAAGGATGGAGAGGTCGTCATTGCTCCTGTTAAAAGTTTCATGGAGACCTGTCACCTTCTGTCGGAGTTATCGCTTACCTTTGAGGGATGAGCGGACCACAGCGGTTAGTTCTGTAATGTAATACCGACTGGAATCTAATTGGAAAGTTTAGATGCAATAAATTCTGGATTCTCTCTCTCTCTCTCCTAAAGAAATAAAGCAATAATCTAGATACCAACACACTCGCACACCACCATACACGTCCACACTACCACCATACACGTCCACACTACCACCATACACGTCCACACTACCACCATACACGTCTACACTACCATACACGTCCACACTACCACCATACACGTCCACACTACCACCATACCGTCCACACTACCTGCACTACGTCCACACTACACGTCTACACCACACTCCACACACCACACCTCCACCACCATACACGTCCACACACCCACCATACACGTCCACACCCACCTACCGTCCACACGTACCACACACTGCCACCATACACGTCCACCACCATACACGTCACACCACCACCAACTACACGTCCACACCACTGCCACCACCACACACGTCCCACTACCACCATACACGTCCACACTACCATACCACACACGTCCACACTCCACCATACACGTCCACACTACCACCAACACGTCCCACACGTCACCATACCACGTCACACTACCACAACACGTCTCCACACGTCTACACCACCACACCACCACACGTCCACACTACCACCATACACGTCCACACACGTCACCATACACGTCACACTTACACGTCACACTACACACACGTCCACACTACCACCATACACGTCTACCACCACATGTCACACACCACACGTCGCACTACCACACACGTCCACACCACGTCACACTACACGCACGTCACGTCCACGCCACACTACCACGCACGTCCACACTACACCATCCACTGCCTCCACACACCGTCCACACGTCACCACCACACACGTCCACACGTCACCACACACGTCTACACCACCACACACGTCCACACTACCACACACGTCCACACTACCACACACGTCCACACTACCACACACGTCAGCCTGGTGGTGTGATAAGTGGGTATATAGCTAACACCCTTCAACATTATGGGTGGTATATGTTTCTTAAGCGTCTCTCCTTACTGGTGTTATGTTGTGGACCGACGTGACGATACTCAAAGGTTCTCGCCCAAACAAATTATGACGACACAAAAATGGATTCTCAAAAGTGTCACGTGTTAAAATTTCCCTTCCTAACTGGAGATACGAGAATGCAGCTTAATCGTACCCTCAATTACAAATATGGTGGCCAAAAGAACTTCGAAATTGCTGTTAAATTCTACGTGGTTTGATTTCCTATGGTGAAAAAAATAGATGTGCTTTATAGAGGCTGAATTAACTCAAGTCTCTGTTGTTTCTCATGATTGGTCACACCTTGAGTCTCCCTGCTACTGTCTTTATGTGTATGTTGTTTGTACTTGTGTCTTGATTATATTTCTGTCTGCCTGTCTTTATCTCTCTGGTTCTGCTTCTTTCAACCTCTTATATGTCTTTTCTTTATCTCCTCTTGCTTTTGTCTCTATTTACCTGTGTATTTCTGTCTCTGTTTTTTTCCTCTTTCCCTATACGTTCGTTTCTTTCTCATTCCCTCTTTCTGTATCTCTGTGATCTCTCTTTGTGTCTTTCTTACTTTGTCTCGTCTTTACCACCCTTTTATTTCTGTCTTTGATCTGTTCCTGTCTTTTGTCTCTCCGTGAATTATTCATTTTCTCTCATTCTCTCTCCCTCGTATTTTTCTCTTTCTCACTTTATCGCTTTCTCCTTAGCATTAAATATAAAACTCGACAACGTAAAGCTGAGAGGTACAGACCGCACGCCAGCACCCACACACTCCTGACGGCGTCCCTGGGGAAGTGTTGCTGTAGCCTCAGGTGTTTTACAGTGATTGGTCGACGTTGCTGATGGATAATCTTCAACCGTAGGCAACATATGATGATTTTAATGCTGTAAGGACTTTTCCGTTCCTCCTCTACCTATTTTTTATTCATTTTTAATTTTTTACTTAATTATTTTAATTTTTTAAGGTCTTAATAATTTTTCGGGATTAATGTTCGGCTTTTAGTGATCAACGTAACGTGTACTCTGGCGGCGGCTTGGCTGACGCTATCACCCTCGAGGTTTTATTCTTCAGATCGACTTTTGTCACGGGTTGTGCCTGGTTCCGCGTCACTAGGACTCCCGGTATACAAGTCCCCACCCCACCCCCCCACCCACCCCACCCCCACCCCCACCCCACCCCCTCCCCAACCCCACCACCCCAACCCGTCCCCAGGCAAGGAATAGCTCGTCGAGAATTTCAGAATCATTGAAGTTTTCTGGGAGTATCAAAATTTACGTAGATAAAAGGTGTTTCTGGGTTGGATACTTACCTCCGGAGGGCTTAAAGGAGGTTGAATCGAATTAACTCTGGCAATAAGCTCTAATCCAGCCGCGAAACACACTTTGGGAAATTGAATTGTAAACAGGAAAAGACACTTTGGAACACGTTGGAGCATATCCCTAAAAATGCAGTTGGGACAAGTTGGAGCATATATCTACCATCAGTTAGAACACGTTGGAGTATATCCCGACCACCAGCTAGATCACGTTGGAGCATATCCCTACCACCAGTTAGAACACCTTGGAGCATATCCCGACCACCAGCTGGATCACGTTGGAGCATATCCCTACCACCTGTCGAGGATTATGACAAATATGGTGGAATATTACATGTCAGTAGGATGAGAGGATCGACGTACCATGAGTGGACAGGTTGACGTGTTCGTAGTTGTCGACACAGGCCTGCAGGTAGATGGAGTAAGTCATGGGCGGCGACTGTGAGAGGGGGTGATCCTCAGGCTCACACACCGGCGTCTGTAGGGTAGAGAGAGAGAGTGAGTGAGTGAGTGAGTGAGTGGGTGGGTGAGTGGAAGGAAAGAGGGCATGAGAGAGAGAGAGAGACTGTTGCAACAAGAGAATGTGAAATCGAATTAATAAAAAAAAACAGCATAAACCTCATTCTTTGTTTTGTTTCACTTGTTTTACTCAAGTTTAAAATGTTATATAGATATTACTTCTCGCTGTGGAAAAATAATTGTGAAATTATATAGTTGTTTGGTAAAAGGGTTGGTGTATTACTGTGTACTGTATGATGTATGCGTTATGAGATATACAAAGTGACCTGTATTATTGCGTATGTTTGGATGTTTGTAGTTGTATTTATTATGGATATTTACCTTGTAAATCGATATGTTTGTATTATGTTTGGATACATTAGTTCTGATAATCGCTTCGTAAACAGTTAAGGCATGAGGGGGATAATGAAGGAACAAACATCTGGTAATCATAACATAGGCGCCCCCGATAAGCAACTTCGTAGGGCTGGCAGCTTGTTTTGTTGAACAAATTTATTGGCAAAGCTTGGTGTACAGTTTGCCTATTCTGAATAATTCAGTCAGGTCTTGACACTAAGGGTGGTATCACTTCTCACTGCCACGCAGGACAGAGGTTCATACACAAAGAAATACATTATATTCATTAGTAGTATATATAAGTCAGATTCATGTGGGTGATGTCACTGTTCACTGCCATGCAGGACAGTGGTTCATATACATTGGACGTCATATTCGAATTGAAGACTAATCAGTGTAGGCTAGCAAATTTTGGATAAACAGCAAGAATGTCCTCAAGCACCCCCGATTCAATGTAGTAATTACAAAGTTCATGATACAATAAGTCGGGTGGCCTGGAGTCTTTGATAGTGTCACATTCAATAATATAGTGTTCAAGTGTATGCTTTAAAGGGTTATCACAACGTTTACTGCTGAGTGTTCCTGTATGGGTACAGCGTTACAAACTTGCCAGATGTGTCTGTATCCTATCCTAATTCTGGCCACGACTACGTCACATTGTCTAGTTCTGTCCTTATGCTGGCCATACTGGTACTTCTTGTCACAAAATTTGTCAGATTTACTAATGCTACAACTGCCAGGTCTCTCTGCATTTCTCAGTTCTTCGAAATCAGAGTTCATGATTCTGACTTCAATGTTTTTAAGTACAGCATTGGACAGGCCAAGGTCACGGTCAACATTTTCTTTCTTACATGCCTCAGGGGCGAGTCTATCAGCACGGTCATGATACCACTCAAATTCGATACGAGAGTTGTTCTCATTGGCAGTTATCACATTTCTTTTAATATCATATGCAACTCTTTTTCTTTATGTTCTATCTAAGTAATCCCGACTATCTCGCTAACCTTCCACAAAAGACTCTCTTTTGGGCGTGGCTTCATAAAAATGTTGCAGATCTCTTGAAACTGAATGTCCCAATCACCCCAGACGAACCCATTAATGCCATTCCTCCTTGGCTGAATATCAGTTCCTATTAATTACACTCCTGTTGGTAGTAAGCAAATGTTAAACACCGATGTGATGAGATGTGTCACACTAGAAACTATTAACCGACATATAGAGAGTATTAAATCAAGTGAATGTTATGCGTTTAGTGATGGTTCTGTGCAGACAAACACAGGTAGAACAGGCCGTGCAATTGTAATATATAAAGAAAAAGAGATGATAGTGTCAAACAAGCAAAGGCCGAACAACTAAGCCAGCACAACACGGCTGGCAGCGATAATCCAGACTGATGTGCCGCAGCAGCTGTGAGTAATGTCGTACGGCTGAGACAGAAAAAATATACACGGAAAAACTGTTGACGACATTATTGCTTTTTCCTCGTGATTTAATGTTAGTTACGTGTACCGACTAGCATAGCCACCCAGGTGCTGACAGACACACGGACTGCCTGACACAGAGAAGCAATATTGTGTTTGGAATTATTTCTCGGTAATTGTTTGTTTCGTCTCATGTTGCACTGTAACTTATAAAACTTGATTGCATATTGTATTCCACCTCTGCACAGTGGTATGTATTATTGTATTTTGTTTTGACACACACACACCCATACAACTAATCTCTTTTTTTTTCTTTTTAGTTTTAATTTAGTGATATATTTTCCAGAAGGTTTTCCAAGGCTATAAAAATGTGTTCGTTCATATTGGCTTGTAAGGAAGATGGGCGTCTCCACTCTGTCTTCTTCCCTACTCTTCTTCTTCTTCTTCTTCTTCTTAACCAAAATATATCAAGGTGCTTTTTATCCCTTTATTCTTGTTCTATTTTCTCTTCATTTTCAACATAGTTTTTTTTCATTTCTTATTCCTCTTGTTTCTTCCCTTCTTATCATCTTCCATCTCCTCTTCCATATTTATTGTTATTCTCCATGACCTGTTTCTTCTCTGTTCTTCTCCTCACCTGCCATCAAGCTGTCCAACGCTGGAGTTTATTGTTGTCCACCATCACCACTAAACCACCACTACCACTAACACTACCACCACCACTAACACCACCACCACCACTAACACCACCACCACCACTAACACCACCACCACCACTAACACCACCACCACCACTAACACCACCACCACTAACACCACCACTACTAACACCACCACTACCACCACCACCACCACCACTACCACCACCACCACCAACACCACCACCACCAACACCACCACCACCACTAACACCACCACCACCACTAACACAACCACCACTAACACCACCACTACTAACACCACCACCACTACTATTACCACCTACACCACCACCACTACTAATACAACTACTACTACTACTGCCACCTCAGACACGGCTCCCACCACTACTGCTACCCTCATTACTATCACTACCACCACCACGATCGCCACCAGCTAGCCGAAGTTTGTGTCAACTTGGGCCAGTTTCTTTTCAGTGTGCCCAAAGACCTGAGAAAACATGAGGGGGTGAGGGGTTCTTTTCCCTCCCTCCCTCCCTCCCCTCCTTTCCCTTCCCTTTCACACACTAAGGAAAGAGGACGGTAGGGGAGAGGAAAAGAAGAATGGAAAGGTAAACACCATCATTCTCTCACATACACGGGAAGAGGCAGAGTATGGATTGGAGGGTGGATGATCCTCTCCCTCCTCCTGGCCCGGGCATAGCACCAACAAGACCCTCATTATCTAAGAAGTCTGGCCAAGCGTCCTTATCCTCCCTTTCTCTCTCCCTCCCTCCCTCATTTCCTTTCCTCCTCTACCATTCCTTCTCTCCCACCTCCCTACCACGCTATATGTTCTCTCCCTCTCTCTTCATCTCCCACTTTCCTTCTTACGGGTCCTCTCCCTCCTTCTTCTCCTCTCCTGTTTCCTCATTCCCCTGACCTTAACCTCTCCCTCCACTTCTTCATCCCCCTCACTCCTCTCCTCTCGACTTTCCTCTTCATCTATCCTTTTTCCGCCTCCTCCACCTGACTCTCTTCTCAATCACCCTCTCTTCCCACTCTTTCTAGCCTCTTTCCCCCCCTCTCTTCTCCAGGTCTCTCTCCCCTCCGCCCACTCACCCCACTCAAGGAGCAGGTGGACTGGTGTTGTACTGACCTAAGCGAAATTAGTCCCACGGGGGCTTTTTTATGGGCTGTGGGGGCTGACAGGTGGGCACAGAATGGAATGTTGAGAGGAAATACAATTTTGTCTGTCTGTCTGTTTATAAATATGGACAGTACAGTATATACATCATTCTGTCTGTGATATGAATTTGTCATCTTTTTGTCTATTTTGCACACACACACACACACACACACACACACACACCAGAAAACAAAGATTAAAAGATTATTTAAGTGTGAGAGTTCGATCTCAGTAATCACGAAGAGAAAGAGAGAGAGAGAGAGAGAGAGAGAGAGAGAGAGGTAAACAAAAATAGTTTGCTTGCGAAGAAATGTGCCGAGTAAACCAGAGTAACGAGAAGTGATAAAGATACGGACCCGATAAAAAACTGGAGGTGGTAAATATGGCGGAGGTCGTAGATTCCTGCCAATTGGCCACCTCATGACGTCAGAGACTTTCACTGCCCTTCTATTGGACACCTCATCATGACGTCAGAGACTTTCAGTGCCCTTCTATTGGGCACCTCATCATGACGTCAGAGAAAACCTGGTGCTTGTTAACGTTTCCCAGCCGAGTTAAATCCGCCAGAAAAATTATACTGAGGTAATGTTACTTTTTTTTACATGCTTATGATAAATATTTGCCTCGGTGTGCTTATGGAAATCTGCGTGTACTTTATTTATATATTTATTTATTTATTTATTTATATTTTATTTATTTTTTTCATTTTGGATTAACACACTTCTCCACGTCAACACCTCCATACACCCACACCACCACCAACACCTCCCCACACCACCACCAACACCTCCCCACACCACCAACACCTCCCCACACCACCAACACCTCCCCACACCACCACCAACACCTCCCACACCACCAGCCTCCCACACCACCACCAACACCTCCCACCACCACCAACACCTCCCACACCAAACACCTCCCACCCACCACCACACCTACCCACACCACCATCAACTCCTCCCACCACCACCCCTTCCCAACACCTCCCACCACCACCACACACTCCCACCAACACCTCCTACCACCAACACCTCCCACACCACCACACCTCCCACACCACCATCACACCACCATCAACTCCTCACACCAACCCCTCCCCCACCACCACCAACCCTCCCACACCACCACCAGCCCCTCCCACACCACCACCAACACCTCCCACCACCACCACACCTCCTCCCCACACCACCACCAACACCTCCCACCACACACCACCACACCTCCCACACCACCATCAACTCCTCCCACACCACCACCAGCCCCTACCCACACCACCAGCCCCTCCCACACCACCACCAACACCTCCCCACACCACCACCCTCCCCACACCACACTCCCACCACCAACACCTCCTCCACACCACCACCAACAC